CCAGGGGGCAGACTTCCCAGAAGGCACATGGTGGGTGCAGAGTTCAGCCCTGGGGGTGTGTGGGGAAAGGAGGGGGCTAGCAGCCAAGGATTCATCACTAAGAACTTTCCAGAGTCTGGAACCGCCAGCTACGGTGGTGGATGAAGCAGAATCAGGCATAATCTGAACCAGAAGCAGAATCTGAAACAGGACAGGTCAGAGGCCAGGAGTGTGTCCCTGTGTGTATCTATGTATGTGAGTATGTGAGTGTGTAGCAACACTGTCTTCCTCCCACCCTCAAACTCAGCCACAGAACATCAGAAGTCAAGCTCCAGGACAGGTGCCAGTCATGGATGCAAGTTAGTGGACACTTTTGGGAGAAGTCCAGGGGCAGCGAGGGAGATGATGTCTGTGCCCAGCTCTGGGGATGCCCCTGTTCTCTCCAGCAGGCGTGGTGAGGTCAGAGTGATAGGATGCCTGTCTGTCTGGTAGCTTCCTTGGGTTTCCCCACCTCACTTCCCTGCAGCTTGAGACACCCCCTTCTGTCTCATTCTCCTCCTACTCTGACCATTTCTGTCTTCTTTTCTGTCTCCTCTCTTTTCACCCACATCCTTAATGTCAGTTATTCATTCTCAGAGTAGAAATATCTGTCTTTCTTCCTATCTGGCCTCTGCATGCGTGAGCTCACCCCCTCTCAAGTCTTTAATGACTACCTGCCTACTGTTATCTCCCAGCCGTGTTATCTGTAGTTTGGATCTCTCACTAGGGATTCAGACCTATAGACACAACCGGCAGCTGGATATTTCCTCCAGACATCTCATGCAACCATCTGAAATTTTCCAAGCCCAATGCTGAATTCAACATTTTAATCCCCACCACCAACCCCAACCTGCTTGTCCTCCTGTGCTCTCTAGTTCCACAAATGACACCCTTTATCCTTCAAGTTCAAAACTTTCTAGTCGTTTCAGAAGAATCTGGGGTCTTCCCATGACCCCCACATGCTAGTCTTCATGGCATGTTACCATTTCTAGCCCTTAAACGTTCACCCATAGAAGGTATGTGGAGACTTGAGGCGGGTATCCAGAAGGCACATGGCACCTTGAACTACCTGACACTTGCTCATAGACCAGTGACTCTCAAAGTGTGGTCCCTGAACCAGTATCACCAACAACATATGGGAACTTGCCAGAAATTCTGATTCTTGGACCCCACCTCCGACCTCCTGAATCAGTAACTCTGTGGGTAGAACTCAGATATCTGTGTTTTAATAAGTCCTTAATGTGACTCAGAGGAGCACACCACAGTTTAAGAACCACAGTTTAAAAACCACACTCTAAGCCATTTCGACAACTCTTTAACTGGTCTCCTGATTTCATTCCTATCTCTTCCGATCCAATTCTATCTCTACTCAGCAACAAGAGTAACAGGATCGTGTTGTCCCACGGTCCATTTTCAGGGAAAAAAAAGTTCAAACTCTCTAACCAGCAACCCAGACTCTTCACAGTTGTGACTACCTTTCCTTTCCTGCCCCCTGAACTGCTTCACAAGAATATAAAAGGAGAAACAGAAAATATGTTTAGTACTGTGCTTGGTGCACAGCAGGTGGTCGGTGAATGCTGTGCACCAATTAGTAGTCAATGAGAAATGCATGGGTGGATGAATTTTTTTTTTTTTTGAGTTGGAGTCTCACTCTGTTGCCCAGACTGGAGTGCAGTGGCCGCTCCCGGCCACTGCAGCCTCAACCTGCTGGGCTCCGGCGATCCTTCCGCCTCAGCCTTCCAAGTAGCTGGAACTACAGGCGCACGCTACCACGCCCGGCTAATTTTTTAATTTATTGTAGAGGTGAGGTCTTGCCAAGTTGCCCCGGCGGGTCTCGAACCCTTGGGCTCAGGCAATCCACTCACCTCAGCCTCCCAAAGGCGCGGGATTACACGCTGAGCCACCTAGCCTGGCTCGGGTGGATGAATATTAAGGGATCCTTGAAGAAGGCTCTATGTGAACATGACCCTGGGTAGCTAGACATAAAATCCAGGTATAATCAGAGGAGATCATCGAATGAAAGAGTGATTTTGCTTATGGCTACTAGGGAAAGTGATATTCTCCAAAACTTGAGTCCCATGGTTTCAGACTCTGGGACCTTCCTCTTTCAGGGCCAAGGGACTCCTCACTTGCTGAGAAATGGAGGTGGGGATTTCAGATTGCCTGCTCTCTGGGACACATGCTCACATGTGGAGGCCCCCGGTGTATACAGGGGTACACATACAGACACCCTGGGAACATGTGGCACACAACATGCACATAGACATTCTTTGGAAACACAGGTACACACTGGAACATAGGACATATATTGACACATAGATGTTCACACTCTAACATATATGGACTCCCATTTGGCATACTTGGCATAATGCTCTTCTCCCAGGCTCCCTTTCTTTTCAAAAAGTAAGGCTACATTTGGACTTTATGTTAAGAAAAAGCTCAGATCTGCCCTCTTTATTGTTGACATGGTCACTTTCATTCTCCTGGCTTTTTTTTTTTTTTTTTTTTTAGTTGGACTCTCACTGTCACCCAGACTGGAGTGCAGTGGCCGCTCCCGGCCACCAGCTAATA